AAAAAAAAAAAAAAAAAACAAAGCAAAAATATGAGAATTAGTAGGTTAACGCTCATAAAACTTTGCATTTCTTATTGTCCTAATTGCTTTTTATCAGCACAGTTTGAAAAGCAGTCATAGAGGTGCATGCCTGTGATCCCATCTACTTGGGAGGTTGAGGCTGGAGGGTCCCAAGTTTTGGAACAGTCAGGCAACTTAACAAGATACAAAAGGGCTGGGGATGTAGCTCAATGACAGCACTTGCCGAGTATGTATGAAGCATTAGGTTCAATCTCCAGTTTAATCAATCAGTCCTTTCAAACACAATCCAGTAAAGAAAACAGTGTAATGAATATACTTGCACACAGCTCCAATGTATACACATTCTGTCCAAGCTACAGTCTCCTGGACAGCCTGCCACATACTGAATACCCAAGCACATGTCCATCAAACTCATACAGTACCAGAAAGTACATCATGGGGGCTGGGGATTTAGCTCAGCGGCAAAAGCGCCTGCCTGGCAAGCGCAAGGTCGTGAGTTCGGTTCCAGGTACCGGAGAAAAACCGAAAATAAAAAATAAAAAAAAATTAAAAAATAAAAAAAATAAAAAAAAAAAGAAAGTACATCATTTTTCTTAATAGGAAAAAAAAATTTGTTTTTTGGACTTTTGAGACACGGTCTCATTATGTAGTTCTGGCTGGCCTTGAACTCACTATGTAGCCCAGGCTGACCACAAATTTGTGGTAATTCTCTTGCTGTAGCCTCTAGAGTGCTAGGATTATGGGCATGTGCTACCATGCCACATTCTCAATAGGAAATTCTTATCAAACTATTTGTATGCAATGAAATCTCAGGCAACAATGAGAATATTAGTTTACTTTGCCATTCCCAATTTGTAATACATCCACCACACAATCCCAGTATTCAGGTAAGAATACAGTAACTCCAAATATATTTTATCCCCAGCCAATCAAATACTGCTTTGGAATTTTGGTAACCCTCCAGCACTCAGGAGGCTGAGGCAGGAGGGTCCCTGTGAGTTCAAGACCAGCTTGGGCTATATAGTGAGTTCAAGGTTGGCCTGAACTGCAGAGTGAGATGCTGTCTCAAAAAAAAAAAAAAAAAAAAAAAGTAAAGCCCTGAATTTTGAAGCCATAGGGCATTTCTAAAGAAATAGTGCCAGAATAGAAACATACTAGCAAGTTGTGCTAACAGGATGTAATCACATGTTCTGTGATTGCAAAAAAGTCACCGGTACTAAACCAGGAGTGGTGGTGCATGCCTGTAATCCCAGCATTCAGGAGGCTGAGGCAAAAGCATCTTTGCAAGCTCAAGGCCACCCTGAACTGCATAGCAAGACCCTGTCTCAAAACAAAATAAATCACCAGTGCTATATTATGCAGGAAGATAAATGTATCTTTGTATAAAACAAATGTTTGGCATTTAAGTGAAAGTTGTCCACTGGAACTTGGTACTAGGTGTCAAAAATTTCTTTTAAAGGTCCACAACTCTTAGATTCTGCTATCCTATTTTCAGATTTAGCCAATGAATAGCACATACAGAGACACAAACATATTTACTGCAACATACTTAAAGTGAATGTTGGAAATAAGCTCTAGATGTAAATAAGGATGATTAAAAACATGGTACATATACTAAGTAGAAATTAACATTTTAGGAAACTGAGTAACATTGGAAAACGTTTATAACTGTCTTTTTTTTTTTTGGTTTTTCTCCGGTACCGGGAACCGAGCTCACGACCTTGCGCTTGCTAGGCAGGCGCTTTTGCCGCTGAGCTAAATCCCCAGCCCCGGAAAACGTTTATAATAAAGAAAGGATCTTAAAAAACAACTTTAACACAATATAGAAATTTTAAGTAGATGGATGTAGAGGAGGAAAAAAAGCGACAGGCGACAAATCAGTCACTATTTTTTGTGTACATTACTTACAGGTTTGAAAGTTGTGTTTTTTTAAAAAAATTATGACTTAAGAATTAGATAAAACTAGTATGTTTTATGCCACTGATGATTTAGGTAAAGAAAAACTAGAAACATTCAACAGTTTCAAGTAATACAGTGTAGCTGTCTGAAAAGTTTTTGGACTCATTTCTTTCAAAAACTACCCTTTCTTTTCATATGTGACTTTATAGGATTCATCCTTGTACTTTTTTTTAAACAGAAATTTATTTTTTGTTGGGTGTGGTGGCACATGCCTGTAATCTCAGCACTTGGGAGGCTGAGGCAGGAGGATTGCTGTTGAGTGGAAGCCTGCCTGGACTGCACAGTGGAACTGTGTCTCAAAAAACAAAAAAAAAAAGGAGAAATTTACTTTCTTACAGTTCCTGAGCGTCTTAGTTACTTTTCTCATTGTTGAAACAAAATATCTGACATCCACAAGGAGAAAATGTTTATTTCAGGTCAACACTTTGGTCTGTTTTTTTATGGCATTTTTAATGGCTATTTAACTCTAATAGGTTGGGCCAAGCCTCAGGGAGTTGTAATAGTACTTTGAGACAGGATCCTGGTCTTAAACTTATTATGTAGCCTACGCTGGCCTGTAACTCTCAGGGAGCCTCCTGCTTCAGCCTTCAGAGTGCTGGGATTACAGGCGTACACCACCATGTCCAGCACTGAATGTAATAGTACATTAAACTTACTAATACTATTTTAAGTTTCTACTAAAAAATGAGTTCCTATGTTTTATTGGGATATAGAAATCATTCGTGTGTGTGTGTGTGTGTGTGTGTGTGTGTGTGTGTGTGGTGAGAATAAAACCAAGGGCCAGGCACTATCTACAACTGAACTATCAGCCCTGTCAGTGCCCTATTCCACTACTCTGAATAGATAAGCACAAATTTTTATCTGATTAACTAAAGACATTGTATATAAGGCACTTACCACCAGCAATTTTAAGAAAATCTTCACCTGTTGCCTTGTAAACCTATAAAAACAAAGGGAAATTTAAACACCGTCTCCGAGCCTTCCGCCCCACGTTCACACTCAGGAGGGGCCGAGGCTCTCCACGGAGGGACATACCTCAATGTACCGGGTCCCCATGTGGTGTTTGTGCCTCTGCAGTGCGAGGTCCCTGTGCTCTTCGCTGACGAACCTAACCAGAGCTTCTCCATTCCGCCGGCCCTGGGCATTCAGACAAAGTGCTGCGCCTCCCCTTTGAAAAGAACGCAACAGATGGCACGCAGGAAACTCAGTGAGGGGAAAAGGATGATGGGAAACCCCGTAACCCTTTGCGATTGTTTTAACAAAGAAAAAAACAACAGCGCTTCAAGGAAACCAACTTGGCAATATTGAGTCCTTTGAAGAATCTTGCAATGTCCTGATCGGAAGACTGCCACGGCAACCCGCGCGCCCTGACCACAGTGTTGTCATCAATGAGTTCCATCTTGCTGCTGCGGACAAAGCGAAACTTCAGTTCAAAAGTTAATGCTTGTAGGTGTGGCACCCAAGAGTCCCTGCCGGTAACCCGTGAGGTCTGATTTCTTTGCAGTTCGGACAGGCTGGCACACTGCCTCACGTTCCTCAAGAATTGGAAGCATTTTTTTTTTTTGGTTTTGGTTTTTTTCCCGGTACCTGGAACCGAACTCACGACCTTGAGCTTGCCAGGCAGGCGCTGTGCCGCTGAGCTAAATCCCCAGCCCTGGAAGCACTCTTCAGTTTGTTCACTCTGCAAAGACAGCTGCGCATACAGGCCCAAGCCCACCAGCTCCTCCAGCAAAGCGTCTGTCAGCTGAGGAGCCACGCGCCTCAGAAACTAAAGGCTCCAGGATCAACTCATGAGACACAAGGTTCTCCCAATACCCTCATGGCTTGAAAGATGCTAGAACTAAGGGGAGATTTAAATTAATTCTCAGATCTAAGGGGCTGGGGATTTAGCTCCACGGCAAAGCGCCTGCCTGGCAAGTGCAAGGTCGTGAGTTCAATTCCTGGTACCAGAAGAAAAGACAAAAAAAAAATTCTCAGATCTAGGCAGTAATAATTGGGTGTTAAATCCAACTTGGCAGCCAAATTTAGGGTCAGGACAGAGCTGGCGATTAACCCACAACAAGAATGAGTACATGTGGTCAGAACTCTTCCACAAACGTATTTTCCTATCAAACCAGAGCCACCCGGGATGTCTGTAAACACTCGGGAGTCCGAACACCTCTGTGAGCCATTGGGAAGCGCCTATTATACATCCTGATCCCTTCTGACATTGTGCCCTTCGAAGGTTCATGTCTTCAGTAATCCCAGGACATTTTCCTAAGGAGTCACCTTCTTCACCACTAAACAGGCTTTAAAATCTCTCCATGGGCAAAGCTGTCAGAAGCTTCTATCCACATCAGGCACCAATCTCCTACCATTCACTACGGCGATTCTCGCACTTCACCAGGCCTGCCTGCGGTCACAGACAGAGACGGCACAACCTCACGTTCTTCCCCACCGTTTCCTTCCCTGTCAAGCAGAAGCGGAGCGAACGCCCTCAAAGTAATCTCGGAAAAAACTGTGAACCTCGACCTTTCCTTTGGAGATTTTCCAAGTGGGAGGGTGGACACAGTTTAGAGGAATAAAACAAGAATCAGAGACACAAACATTCTAAGTTGTGCCGCATCACCAAATAACTGAAGGTGCCAATGCTGTATTTCACTAAATTTTACTGCCGATATCCGAGCTGACTGTAACGAACAGCCTAGCAATATGACATACAGTCAAAATGAAAGTTTCTAAAATATAAGGAGAATTAAAACTTAAAAAAAAAAAAACAACAACAAGTGAATAGTATTCAGCTACTTACCAAGTGCCACTTTCAAATTTGTAGTTTACCCTCTCTGGATCTGAAAACCTGTGATCTAAAAATGAGCAAACACAAGCTGTCACTTTAGCTATCAGACATGCAAAGCTGTGGGAGCAAATTCAAAGCGTGGGTTGAGGAAGGGCGGTGGATCGACAGCAAGACTTACTGTAGGGCTCCGATACCATTGCTAAAATTATGTTCCCCATATCTTCAACTTGAGAGGCTCCATAGCGAGAGTCTGAACTGCTCTTCTCAAAGTTTAAACCTATGAGATCTGTTAAGGGAAAATGAAGCTGCTGTAACCCCAAATTAAACTCTTACAGAGACAAAAAGCCAGATAAAATTCTTTAGAAACTTCCGATGGCTGTTAAGGCGTTCGAGTTTGCCACACTCTCTAAAGTCTCCATCTGACTCTTACAGGTAAATGGGTGCAACTCAAGACCATGCTATGGGCTGGGGATATAGTTCAGCAGCACAAGCGCCTGCCTAGCAAGGGTGAGGTCATGAGTTCGATTCCCAGTACAAAAAAAAAAAAAAAAAAGACCATGCTCATAAGTGAAATAAACCAGATGCACATGTGGAGACATCGTATTGTCTCCCTAGTGTGAGAGGCTGAAAGAGTAAATAAGATCCAAAATGCACAATAGATATTAGGAAATGGGAAGAAACTTCAAAAGGAAAGAGAAACTGGGATGGAGGAGTGGAGAAAAGAGAGGGAAAGGAAAAAATATATATATATATAAGTTAAGATAGTTATACTACTAATTTCGCTTAGTTCATTGATCTTTTTTTTTTTTTTTTTTTTTTTTTTTGAGACAGGGTCTCCCTACACAGTTCAGGCTGGCCTTGAGCTCACTTTGTAGCGCAGGCTGGTCTTGAACTCGCAATGATCCTCCTGCCTCAGCCTGTCGAGTGCTGGGATTACAAGCGTGAGCCACCACGCCTGGCTTTGCTTAGTTCATTGAGAATAAAAGTTTGTGCTAATATTGTTTGGAAAAGTAAATGCCTTATCTTGTATTCTGAGTAATTTAAAGATACAAATATACATTAACCATTGGTTACCCTGCTATTATTTTGTTTTTGAAATTTTTTTTCTCTATTAAAAAAAAAAAGTCTCCATCTGCCCTCTCGGGTCAAATGCCCAAGTGCTGGGTGTTGCCCAGTAATAAAAGTTCTGTTTGTTCAGGTCACAGCAAATGTGTGGATGCGGAGGGCAGTGGTTTTACTTTCAAACAATACAGTCTGCCACAAATCAGAATCCATCACCAGATGCTGAGCATGGTGGCACACGCCTGTAATCCCAGTACTCGGGAGGCTGAGGCAGGAGGATCGTTGTGAGTTCAAGGCCAGCCTCAGCTACAAATTGAGTTCAAGCTGCATAGTGAAACCCTATCTCAAAAAGACCAAAAAAAAAAAAAGATCCATCATTACAATCCTTATTAGAGGGGCTGGGGATTTAGCTCAGCGGCAAAAGTGCCTGCCTGGCAAGCGCAAGGTCGTGAGTTCGGTTCCCGGTACCGGAGAAAAAAAAAAAAAAAAAAAAAAAAAAACAAAAACAAAAACAAAAACAATCCTTATTTGAACACTAATGAGAACTTTTGTTCTGTCATCATTTTATCTGCCTTCACAAATGCAATAATCATGCAATTTAAAGACATGGATAGGTCAGTCAAGACCACGGCTATTACATGGCTTACTCTGGCCTCATGAGACACACACGGCAAGTTGCAGCTGACACTATCGCCACGATGCCAGTTTTACTCAGAACTTTCATGATACTTTTAGAGCAGCACTGGGTATCCCACCTTTGATGGCAGCAAATACTAGGTCTTGGAGAAAAAATTTTAGCAACAATTTAAGCACGCAAAGGCAGCCATGGCCATTTTTTTTTTTTTTTTTTTTTTTTGAGATAGGGTCTCACTATGCAGTTCAGGCTGGCCTTGAGCTCACTCTGTAGCCCAGGATGGACTCGAACCCGCAACAATCCTGGTCAGGGATAATATGTTCTTTTTTCTTGCCTTTTTTTTGCTGGGGTAAGGGCACTGTGGTACTGGAGACTGAACCCAGGGCCTTCACAGAGCTATACCCCTGGCCCTTTTAAAAGAAATTTGATTTTGAGACTGGGTCACGCTAAGTTGCCCAGGCTGGTCTCAAAATGGTGATCTTCCTGATGCAACAGGAATGCTGAGATTATAGGCATGTACCACCACCTGGGGTTTTTTGTTTTTTTGGGTTTTTTTTTTGGTATTTTACTCTCCATCCCTGCAATCCAACAGGGCGGGGAAGGGGAATCTCACTATGCTGCCCAGGCTGGTCTACAACTCTGAACTCAAGTGGTCTTTCTGTCTCAGCACCCTAAGAACTAAAGCATACAGCACATGCTCCCACACACGCTTTCAATGCAGTTCCTCGCCACATCAGTACAATGTTTGGGTGAACCAGGAAAAAGGACCCTTACATCTTGGTTCAAATTCAGTTTGAGGGGGAAATCAGAGACATTTCCATTACACTTTATGATTTAGAATCTCTCTATAGTAAGCATTATCACCATCAAAATTTAACTTACGAAAGCTAACAGTTATTGAAATGTGTAACTTATTTAAATGTCAATACTACAGTAGTTTTATATTATGTACAAAGATGAATAAATTTTATAATGTAGTACAAGGTATATCAAATATAATCTACAGGACTGCATCTTTTCTCTGGAATTTAAAATGAAATCAGCTAGGGCAAGGAATGTGGCTCAGTGGTAGAATACTTGCCTCGCATGCACAAGGCCCTGAGTTCTACTGTCAGCACTGCAAAATCCAAAACCAAAACCAGGCTGGGCATGGTTGTACACACCTATAATCCCAGAACTAGGGAGGCTGAGGCAGGAGAATTGCTGTGACTTTGAGGCCAGTGTGGATTACAGGGTAAATTCAAGGCCAACCTGAACTACACAGGAGACCCTGTCTCAGAAAACCAGAACAAAAACAAAAACTAAAACCCCAGATATCTGAGCTGGGAGGGTAAAGCCGGGAGATTGCAAGCTCAAGTCCAGCCTGGAGAACTTAGTGAGACCCTGTCTCAAAACAATGAAATGGTGGGGGAATGTAGCTCAGGGTGAAGGGCCTGGGTTCAATCACCAGCACATGGGACGCAGGGGGCATCGGTGTGACGGTTACTAGTGTGTTTGCCTTATTTTACACTTAACTAGTATTTCCTAATAGATTTTTTAAAAAGAAGACAGATTGGGCCAGGCATGGTGGCACACACCTATAATCCCAGCACTCAGGAGGCTGAGGCAAGAAGACTGTTGTGAGTTCAAGACCCGCCTGGGATACATAGTTGAGCTCAGGACCAGCCTGAACTGTATAGCAAGACCCTGTCTCAAAGCGCCCGCCCCAAAAAGAAGAAAAATGTAAAGGAAAGATCTTTGTGGACTGTTTACCGCACACTGAAAGGGAGCAATTGTTAAAACACTTTAGAGAGCTGTCACCCAGAATGCCTCCCAAAGTGCGCAGCGGGTAGCAGTGCAGCTCTTGCCTAGGTCCTGGGTCCCATCCCTGGCCCGCACACGCACAGATGGACTCCCTCCCGCCAAGTACACCAATTACCTGAAGATTGATCCAATGACTTCTATCCTTTTCCACTGGAAATTTAAAATCACTTTCCATTCCCCACCTGAGCTCCCTCTTTCCTTTCTCATTAGAGACACGCTGCTATCCAACAGCGGGGCAGCAAACTCATTTTTGTGTTGTCCCTCAACCGGCTCTGGCTCTCCGCTGTTAAATATATGACAGAGAGACAAGCCGCCATATGTTCCTGGCCAGTTACTTAACCCCACTAAACTTCAGCTTATCTGTAAAGCCACAGCTGGGATAATCTTTACCTCCCTGGGCTTTTTGTGGCGATTAAGTGAGATAAAACAAACCCAGAGCACAAAGCAGCCATTTAAATAAGAGATGCTCTTCCTGTTCTCAGAACCCAGGATGACCACTCTTTTTTAAACACAGCACTGGAGAAAGAAATAAAATTGATCATATCATTTACATTTACTATCCCACTGGTAGATACACTGGATTCAATCAATATTTTACATTTGATCATCATTTTGATCATCATATATTTTGATCAAGTACATACTACCTGTACTTACTCTAGTATTTTAATAATACTTCTAATAACTTATTTTATATGCTTCCCTGAACACTTATGTTGATCAATTTTCTTTTTATTTGCTTTTTAAAAAAGGACTAAGATTTTGATATTACACAATGTATTGTGTCAGATAAAGGCATTTATGTACTAAGTGTAATTACTAATACTTGTATAAGTTTAAGTAAATGTCATAAAAAGTACTTCTTACAAAATATAGTTCTAAAGAAACATATGCTTATAGAAAGATGCCCTCTGATTTCAATAAGAACTAGGCATCATTTCAATGCAATTTTGCAAATAATCATTAATTCATGAGTACTCTATCTTGCACATTTATTTCAAAGGATCAAAATTTTATTTTCTATTATACTTTTATGACACTTTCCTAACAAATTCCTTAACAAAGAAATTTCTTTTGGGAATAATTTCCTGTCATTCATTATAAAATGCATTCTACACTATGGTAATCTTTCACATGTTGGTAGGAGGTTGTATCTGGAGGCCTTTGCCTTAATATAACTACTTACTAATAAATGATAATGTTCACAGATGTGGGCTATTTACAAATATACTTTATAAGCGTTTAAAAAAAAAAAAAAAAAACCCATAGTACCAGGGATTGAACCCAGGTGGCTCTAGCACTGACCTATACCCCCAGCTCTTTTACTTATTTATTTTACTTACTTACTTACTTACTTTCTGAGTACTGGGAATCAAACTCAGGACCTTACACTTGCCAGGCAGGCGCTGTGCCACTGAGCTGTATCCCCAGCTACCCCTTTTTATTTTTTGAAACAGGTTCCTGCTATATTGCCTAGGCTGGCTTGAATTTGCAGGTTTCCTGCCTCCTCCTACTAAACAGCTGGGATTACAGGCTTGTGCCACCACCCCTGGCTTCAGCAGGCTTCTTGAAGCCCACATCGACAACTGAAAAATCTGACCTCAACACATGCTTCTTTGGATACCACACAATCTAATCACCAAGCTCACATGGTGGATCACATCCGCATCCTCTGTGATCTGCTGATGAGACAAATGTGCTGCCCACTGAAAAAATGAATCCCAGGAGATGTTTAAGCAACCGACCAATGCCCGCTGACTGGGGTCACCGATTATTTA